ATTTAATTTATAGTGCAAGTAATTATTTTTTTCGGGTTGGTTGTGTTTGTAATTGTGTGGGAAGTTCTTGGCAGGGAATAGGGATCGGTTTTGTTGATTAGATTATGAAATTTAGGGTAATAATGTTAGATTATTTATTATGAGAACAAATAAATGACAAAATGTGTAGCTGTGTTAGCCTGTCATTGATTTAATGTTTCGGTCTTACTTTTGTTGAAATCAGCCTAGGCATCTACTTTAAAGGTCAAATCCCGCCTCATGGTTGAGTTCAAAAATTATATATATAACTAAATTTAAAAAAAAAATATCCTACAATTACCTTGTCAACTAAACATCGTAGGTCAGGTGATTGGTTAACATGTTAAGAGTGAGACCCAAAGTGGGGGAGCCTAGTTTGAAACTGGCTAGGGGACGTAGATACTGCCAACCCATTACTAACTATTAAGTATAGAGCGTTGGTCACTTTTCAAAGCTCTCTTACTAAGAAGATGGAGTCCACCCTCGATGTAGTAACTAAATTATGCGCAAAACCACTTCATATTAAGCCAGTCGGAATATAAGGCTGAATCATCTCGTCCCAAATCCTATTGTTTCATTCTAAGTAATTTGTGAGTATTTTTTAAAGTAATAAATGATAAAGTAGCCATCAATGATATTGATTTTCCCCCTATCGTCGGACTCCTCAACCATATAGATTAGATACTATATATTCCATAGTATTCTTTCTTAGTTTGTTGTTATGTAGATTTTTTGTTTATTTGTTTATTTTTTCTTTTTGCAGTGTTATATTTTGTAAAACAAACTCTCTAAAGTACATCTATTCATTTATTGATCTCTTATTTTTATTTTAGTACAATAGGTAGGAAGAAATTTTTTGATCGGAGATAAATATTTAAACCAGTTGAGCACTACTATTTAAGTTGGCCAAACGAATAGATGTACTGCTAAGGTACCTAAACTAGCTTAGCATTTTTTTAAGCGTTCATTTTGGTCCATATATTTTTGAAATGTTCATTTTTTATTCCAACTTTTGTTTATTTTAGTTTATGTATATTTGAAACATTTAGTTTGGTCTCAATACCTTAAAATTGCGACTATTTCATTTTTATTTTTTCTCATTTATTTCCATCAAAATTTTAGCATAACACTTCGCTTATTAAAATTCTTGAAATGTAACTATAAATTTGAAATTATGCACGTGGAGACCAAAATGATATGTTTTAAAAAATACAAATACAAAAATGAACATTTTTAAAATACGTCGACTAAAATAATAAAAATTGGAGCATTCAGAACAAAAATAGACATTTTAAAAATTCATGGATTAAAATAAACAAAACCAAAATCCATCCACTCAAATAGAATTTAAATCTAAATTTTATAATCATAAGTTGGTGTAAGAAATGGTAACAAGTACAACTAGGGGGGGAAAAAAAAGATAAGCATTAAATGCAAACAGCAGAACTCTCGTGCACAGCACGTGACTCACATCCATACTTAAAACTCTAGACTCAGATTTTTCTCCACCTCACTCTTCAATCTTATCAAACCCTATTTTGACCTAATTTTCCAATCCGCCCTCTGCTCCTGCTCTCGGCTTCTAGGGTTTCTCCACATTCTGCTCCTCCCTCCCGCTGCTTCTTTTTCAGTTTTTTTTTCTTGTTTCTAAGATTTCCTCTTCGTTTCGAGTATTGGGTCGTTCGCTTTTGTCTTCAATGGAGCTCGACGGCGTTCGCAAGAGGGAAAGAACTGAAACCACCTTGAATGGCAATGGCGGCTTTAAGAAGTCTAAACCAGGTTCGTTAATGCTCAATAAATGCACGCTCTGGACTCTTCTTCTTCTTCCTCTCTCTCTCTCTCTTTTTTTTTTTGTGTTCTCAACGACGCTCTGGTTTATATATCGTTTAACTGATTATTGGGTTTGGTGAGTTGCGTTTTCCTTGCTGGATTTAAATGGAAAATGAAGTACATTTTATTTGATTTATGTTCGAAGTAAATATTTCTGCATCTTGGTCTATTTCTGCATCTTTTTTTATGTGGGTGTCTTTCAGTTGTCAGTACTCTGTTACTAACTTGCTCCCTATTTGAATATATGGACGTAGTTATAGCTTTTTAGTATTTTGTTTTCTCTTTAGATTGGAGTATTCTGATTTGGTTGTTTGGTAGTAGTTGGAATCTGCTTGTGGTATTTGGTTAATGATTGTATGCCTCTTTCCGAGTTCTGGTTAGGCTTTTGGTTATGATAGGTAGGTTACGAGACTACTTTGTATTGCCTCACTGAAGTCAATTTCACATCTTTTGCTTGGTGTTCTATTTTTTTTTTCCCTATTCCCCTAGGCTTATGATGTGCAAGATATATACATTACTCCTTTTTGTCATTGTTTTGTTGATAATTGTTGAAGTTGAAGAGACGACTTTATATTTTATTTCTGTAATGTAATTGTTGTATGATGTTCAGATCTTAGTTGACTTGATTGTTCTTATTTCAGTAGATAAAACAATGTAAAAGTGGATGTTGTATATTTTTCTTTCTTTTTTCACACTGATGTGATTTTTAATTGAAATGGTGCTAGATGATTTAAAATGTTGGGATATGTTTTGTTTGAGTGTATAAAATTTGGAATGTGGTTGTCTTTCTTTTTCCTCCTGCAGTCCCATTTCACCGTCTTAATTAGTAGTGTGTTGTCATAGTGATAAACGACGGTAAAAATAATATTAGATATTATAAACTGGGAGATCAATGGTATGCTGAAATTTTAACTAAGGAAAGTTAATTAATGTTCTGCGACAGAAATGGACTCCTTATCTACTGGTTTAGGAAGCAAATCGAGGCCTTGCACAAAGTTTTTCAGGTTCTAATCTTAACTTATCTAAAATGAATCAATGTAATTCAGTCAATCTATTGTTAATGTTTTTTAATTTCCAGAAAGATTTACTTAATTTTTCAAGCAAAATTATTATGATTTGGACTAATGAATTGGTTAGTTAAAGTTGTTTCAGGTTATGCATTGATGTAATCATAACAACAATCACTGAACTGAAATAGTTGATTCACGAGAGTCCAGTGGGAATAACCTTTTGCTGGAATTTGTCTTAATCGAAAGCTATTACATTTGATGCCAAACTTGTTCTCTCTAAAGTGGATAAATAATTCTTACTTGGATCTTTTAAGTAAGCAGTGTGATGCAGAATTGAATTGGTGTCTTAAGTTATGGTACAGGTTATGCTTTTGTAGTTCTGGGACTCCTCCTTAAGAGGCAGTTTTTTGTGTGCAGTTGTATTTTTCTTTCAGCTTTCTCAATGAAAGCTTGGTTTTCAAAAAAGAAAATGGTACAGGTTATCACCATATTTCATCTGGAACTACTTCGTTGAATGATGTTCAAGTCAGTTAAGATTTCAATTTGTTTTCCTGTTAAGGTTTTGGATATTACAATTTTATGATACTGCTGTTCAACTTGTTTCTGTTGCTAAGTAGAAAATTTATCTTGGTAGTAAGATGTCTTTTTATTTCGGAGTAAAATTTTTGAAATATCATTCAGTAGGACTTATTATGGACTTTAGGAAAATGTTTTTTCTCACATTACTACTGCTGAGCTCAAACATGGTTCTTTGTTGTTTATGTTTATGCTAACTAATTTTTCATTGGCCTTTTCTTGTTTTTTTAAAATCTTGTACGCGTTTTGTACAAGTATTCTACATAGTCATATTATTGTGAAGTTTACACCTTTTTTGAAATAAAAATGCAGCACTTCTGGTTGCCCTTTTGGTGAGGGGTGTCATTTTGCACATTATGTTCCTGGCGGATTCAAAGCAATTTCTCAGATGATCAGTCCTGCTATTCCCCCTGGCATTAGAAATCCAGTTGGGCCCCCATCATTTCCAGATGGTGTTAATCCTCCAGCTGTCAAGACGCGTTTGTGCAATAAATTCAACTCAGCTGAGGGCTGCAGGTTTGGTGACAAATGTCATTTTGCTCATGGCGAATGGGAACTTGGAAGGCCAGCTGCTCCATCGGTTGCAGATCATGGCGGAATGGGACTGCCAATGCAACACCCCCCCAGAATGGGTGGTGGCTGGAACATGCCTCCACCACCACCGCCCAGTCATGGACCAGCTGCTAGCTTTGGCGCCTCTGCAACTGCAAAGATCAGCGTAGATGCATCGCTCGCAGGCCCCATAATTGGGAAAAATGGTGTAAACTCAAAGAATATCTGCCGTATGACTGGGGCAAAGCTTTCTATAAAAGAACATGAATCAGACCCTAGCCTGAAGAACATTGAGCTTGAGGGTACGTTTGATCAGATCAATCTAGCAAGTTCGATGGTGCGCGAGTTGATTGCAAATGTTGGCGCTGCCTCTGCCAATAATGCCATGAAGCAGCAGCAGCAGCAACATCATTCTGCCAACCAGCAGCAGTCTTCTGGCTCAGCAAACAACTTCAAGACGAAACTTTGTGCAAATTTTGCAAAAGGTACCTGTACGTTTAGAGAGAGATGCCATTTTGCCCACGGTGAAAGTGAATTACGCAAACCAGGAATATGACCGACCACTTTGCAGCAGCCAGCAGACTTGTAGCAGCCAGTGGATCTCTCCTCTTGAACAAAAATGTTCTTTGTTTTGATTTTCTCTGTTTGAATCATTTGTTAAATTTTGAAAATGTTATCCGATTACGTTGTAGCACACGAGCATTCTTCGTTGGAAAAATCGGGACAAGATTATTGTTTAAGGCTCTTGACTTGAATGGAATCGGTTTTTTCCTCTTGTTCTCTGCAACTTTTCTTCCTCCAAAACTCGTTTACATGTGAATTTTGAGTATTAACATGGATCCCGTTGCATGCTTTTGTTTGTTTCACATTTTTCTTTCTGTGAATGGGCTATTCCTTCCACCAGAATTCTTTGAATGTTGCTTGATAATTTGGTGACATGCCAACAGATTCTTCTACATGTTGCTATGTAATCAAGTTGCTTTTATTCGTTCAGCAATTATTTTTATCAATTGTATATTCTTCATTTTTGTGGTTTGAGGTTCAGTATTCTTCAACCATTTTTGTGGCTGTCTTTTCCCGGGAGTATTAATATTTGTCGCTCAAACTAAGTTCTAGATGATCCGTTTCATAGATGACCCGTTTCAAAGTTGTGTCTAATAAAAGTGTTCAATAACTATCTACACTTTCGATGTTGTGTTTAAGAGGTGCTTAATCTTTTGAAAATTAATAGACTCATTGGGTAAATTAATGGACTTATTAGATACAAAATTGAATTTTATACCTATTAAAAACTTGAATTTTCAATTATGTGAGAATATTTCTAATACTACGAAATCTGATATCCCTATTAAATGGTGTTAAATGGAGGAAGCAGTAGGTCCGTGCTACAAGAAAATTTCCTCAACTTTGTGCCTAATGTATCCGTAAATTTTAAAAAATATTTAATGGGTCACATATTAGACATAGAATATAATTTATATATAGATATATAAAAATATATATGACATTTACTATAGTTCAGGACCTATTAAATATTTTTTAAAGTTTAAAAACCTATTAAAAACTCATTTTAAAAGTTTAAAATTTGTAGTTTTAAAATTTGTAGTTCTTATTTTATTTTTATGTCTTCAATTCCTATGTAAATTTATTTATCTTCTCTTACTTTAGCTAATAAACTAGTGATTAATATTTGTATTTTCGTTTAGTTTTATTAGGGTGAGAATTTGAATCATTAAGTTAGACTTAAATTAACAAAATATTCACATGTTCAATAAGCATTTAAGGGACAAATTTTTGCGTGTTCCAATAATCTCYCTTGAAGGTCTATTATGGGAAGATATTAAAAATTGACTAAAACATTAAGAATTATTTTATATATTTATCCTATCGATTTGAGCATAGTTCACTTAATAAGACAAAAAGTTGAATGTTTGATTTTCCAACCCAACTCAAAATATATATATATATATATATAGTGAATATTATTTTGTATATGGACAAAAGTATAGTGAATAATTAGTATTAACATACAATATAAAAGTTAAGAAAGAACTTATGTAAATAAATAGTTATTTCATTTATCAATTTCACATAACATGAAAACTAGAAAAAAAAAACACTATATATTTCAAACTCCAAACATATTTACTATTTATCAAGTATGAATGTCTTTTTTTTTTCGTTTGTATGAAATAGTACTGTTTAAGACAAATTGATTAAAATAATAATTATTCATGGAGGACTCTCAAGTTCTCAGCTCCATCCTCGAACAAAATCAAACCCAAGTATCAATGAAAAATATTTTTCCATATATGTTGAAACTCCTTCCTTATTTCTTTTTTATTTGAGGAAATTTTTGTCAATATAATTTGGAAAATACAAGTTTCTAAATCTTATTTTTGATATTTAAGAGAACGGGTTTATTATCAGCTATAAATATAACAAAAACATCAAGATAGTATAGAAAAAATAGAACAATATATCTTTCACTCAATTCAATTAATACTAAAGAATTCTTCTACTACGGTTTTTTTTGCTTTTTATTGATCGAACTCACAGTTTTGTGGTTGGAGATATATACCAATCTAAGCGTTTTGACAATTCTTCTACTACCATTATTTATGGTTATTCCAAAAATTCGATGACTTGAAAAATCTGGTTCACCCAACCCCCTTAAAATAAATTTGAGTTGAATCGAAGCCACTCACTTATATGTGTTAGATTGGTTATGTGTTAATGAAAATTATTTTTGATATCGATTATTTATTGTCCAACCACTTTTAAAAATTACTTTTTAAGTTTTTTAGTGTAATTTTCACCATATAAATAAACACACTCACTTACCAATTTTGATTTAATGTTAAAAAATATTTAAAGAAATATATGATATTAGCATTTATTCTTTTTTAAACACAATATTTTGAATGAGGGGTAAGAATAATCGGAACAACCTAACTTAAATATTTCATTGGTGCGTTGGGTTGAGTTCATTATTTCATAATGGTTGTTTGAGTTGAATAAATTTACAACTCGAACAATTGAGTAGGGTCTAAAAAGTATCTCAACACAATCCAATCAAACTCATAAACACCCTAATATTATTCATAATATTACAAATAATGTCTTGCCAGCTTCATCGCCCTTGGCGACTCGCACTTAGTAATACTGGTGTTCACGAGCGCATGGAAGCCTTCTTCGTCTCCGTCCTTGCCCCCGTTTCAATTCCCACCCCATTAAATTTTCCACTATATTTCACGAGGATTCCACTTATTATTATTATCGTTTTAAATAATTTTTTAAAAGAAATGGTTAGTTAAATACTTAATTTTCAAGAGTTTGTAATCTCCTTTACATATAGTTAAGTGATAACCCTCTCATTTAAAGGAAAATTTCTTAAACCACCTGAAAAAAATATAATATTTCGTTTAAGTCTAGACTGAAAACTTAAACAAAAAATAAGAAATTTGACGAGCATCAGGATTTTTTTTAATAATACTATTTATTAAACTTATTCAAAAAATATATCAATAATCAAACTATTTTAAAAAATAGTGCTTGGAAAATAGATAAACGGCCTATGAAAAGACACTTTTTGAAAGCGTCAAAATGCTTTGTTTTTAATTAGAAAAAAAAAAAGAAAATTAATACACACGACTTCCTTTAAAAAAAAATGTCACTTCATAGGTCGAGACCACTGTCTATTTTTCAAACATTATTCTTGAAAAGAAGTTGGTTATGGTATATTTTTTAAATAAATTTAATAAATAGCATTATTAAAAAAAGATCTCATGTTTCCGATTTGAAGATCATTCACCCTCCTACTCCTGCATGTACTTGGAAAAAAAATCGACATCTAATATCCCTGAAAATAAATGACCAGAATCAAACTTCTAAATTAATATATAATATTTATTAATCAATCCGATTTTAGATTTTTCTTTTTTAAAAATTGAATTCATTATTAAAGATATATCGTTCTATTATTTTAATTTTAAACTCGGTTCCAATTAAGGTAAAAGAATGCCAAGAAAAAAGAACTTTCCTAAAACAAAAACTAAAAGGACCCTGATTAAAAATTTCCTATTTCAAATTTTAAATTATAGATTACTTGTACAAAAAGAAAACTCCCACCGTCTCCGTCGCTCTGCCTCTCCATCTGCAATTTCTTCTCCGGCGAGCCCTCGTATTCTCTCGCTCCGGCCGCCGGAACTTCTCATTCGCCTTCTGGTACTGTCTCTTCCTTCTGCTCTCTCCATTGTACAGGTGCAGGCAACTCTCTGCTATTTCCCCTATTTTCCTCGCTGCTTCCCGTTCCGTTCGATTGATACTTGGTGCCGTAACTGGTGGTTTCAGTGGTACTATGAACTGCTTCATGTCTAAGAATTCGTGATTAGAGCTAAATGAGATTATACTGATTTTTGCACCTTGTTGTTAGCTGAAAGAAAGTAATCGTGTAATTATGTTGGCTAATCCACTCCCCGATAATGTTGATACCACGAGTGAGAGGAGTGTTGAGGCTTTTGAGTATAGTACTAGTTTAATACGAGTCTCTGACCATGCCTTAAAGTATATGATTGTTACTGTAAAAAAAAAGAAAGTATATGATTGTTGTTGTTTTAACGCATAATTACGGTTTCAATGTATTGTGTGTGCTCGTGTCGCCATCAAGTGGCAGCTCAGTTGACAAGGACTTGGGGTCTCTTGGTCATACTGACTTAGAAGTCTCAAGTTCGAAGTTTCTAATGAGCTTAATACCGAAAACTCTTGATGTCTCCTGGGTATGGGCGTTGGTGCCCTTGGGTATAGGGGAGCAAAGTTCCGACTCCCCGTTCTAAAAAAAATGTATTGTGTGTGCTTGTGTCAAGATAATCTTTAGATTATAACTTCTATCAGTTTCTTGGTTAGTTGTAAGTATGAGGAAGAAGGTGGATGATCGAATTCCCACCTTGATTCAGAATGGAGTGAATATGAGGCATCGTTCGCTGTTTGTGGTAATTGGTGACAAGGGTCATGATCAGGTTGTTTATCATATTTATGAATAAATCAGAACTATCGTTTTTATATTGGAAGCTTAATTAGAATTTGTAATAATTATTTCCCTGGGAATTAATGAATCTCTTTTCAGGTGGTCAATCTCCATTACTTGCTAACTAAGGCAGCCGTGAAAGTACGTCCAACTGTGTTGTGGTGTTACAAGAACAAATTAGAGATTAGCAGGTTTCTACAATATTTATTTAGATACCATAATCGTTGCTTTCTATAATGCAGTAACCACTTATAGGTAAACATAGTTTTATGATCGTTTTTGTAAATTATTAGACTTTTTCACACAAGGAATGTAGCTAGTAATATTGAAGATATTGCTTGAAAAAAAAATATTTTAATTCTTTATGTGCTAAGCAGAGCCTTTCAACATTTATTGGGTACTATTCCTCTTGAAATCAGCACGTAAAGGCAGCTACATGGTCTTAATTGTCACTTGCATCTTAATTGTCGTTTTTGAGAAAATTTTAAATATTACTGTCACTTATTGTAATAATTTTTATGTTAGCCATAAAATAAAAAGAGCAAAGCAGGTGAAAAAGTTGATGCAAAGGGGACTTCTCGATCCTGAAAAAGTTGACCCATTTTTACTTTTTAGTGAAAGCGGAGGTTTGTCATATTGTCTATACAAGGACACAGAGCGCATCCTTGGAAGTGCTTATGGGATGTGTGTTTTGCAGGTTTATACCTCGTGTATTTTCTGTTAGAATGAAGATTGTCTTACACTATAAGGACTAAACCTCT